GAAAAAAAAAAAAGAAAAAAAAAGGGTCCTAAGAGAAGGGACGACAATCCTCACCGTGAAGTCTGAATCTTGGAAACGAAGAAGGAGACGGCGATGAAAAAGATGATGCTTTCAGAGTAGCGCATTTCCTGAGAAATGAAGATGGGCCCACCAATTGACTGGACGGCTCAACACAGCTGAAGCCCAATGGAGAACAGTGAAGAGACATTTGAGGTCCAAAAACGGATCCCAGGAAGGAATCAGTGAACAAGCTTGAGTTGATAAATGGAACGGGTTAAACCAGTGAACAATCTTGAGTTCCTCGAACTAAAGAGAAGGAGTCGGGATAATTGATCCTCTGTTTAAAGAGAAAAAAATTAATATAGAGAGTAGTTTTGATTCTGCGGAGAAATGTAAGAATGAGGGGAGTAATGGGAGCACAGAAGAAAAAAAGAGGGTAAAGTAAATTGGTTTTGTGTTGTTGTGTTGTGTGGGAGGTGAAGGTGCCAACTGCAAAATGCCAAGACTTGCTTCAATTATCCCTTCGTACAAGGACAGCGAAAAAATCTAACCTACGGTGTGCGAGTTTATACAATATTTATCTAAGTATTTTAAGTGCAAAGTTATCAAAAAATGATTGTTTGTCATATACAAAGTGAATACATGCTTATTTATAGAGATAATGTTCGTACATTCTGAAAAGTATGTTGGCAAAGTGAATAAGATCTTCATCTTAATTGTAGTTGTCGTCGCCGGAATTGTCATGGGGCCCAACCTTCTCCATCACCGCGTGCATCGACAGGAAGTAGGTCGGCTAGTGCTTCAAAATGTTTAAGTATGAATTTAACAAATCACAATGTACAATTGATGTCAACTAAGTATGTGTTATGTATGAACTAAATGTGCAATTCTAAAACAAACTGACGGTTATGCTGACTGTCTTATAGTGAGAATGTAGGGACTAACTACATCAAATGTGATTAAGTTATTTCCTTGTTCAAAATTGAATCGGGAGGATTGTAATGGAAGTTGTCATCTATTTTCTCTTCAAAAATCCCGCACAATTGATTCTCTACTTGTTCTCACCTTCATAGCCCCGAAGTATGCACCTTTTATTTAATAAATTAGCATTTTTATGATAACTAAGTATGCAGTTTAAAATCCTAGCCATTTTTCTGCACCTCTTTAATTATATATGCTTGTTTTCACCTCCATGGCCCCCGAAGTTTGCACTTTGTATTTAACAAATAAGCAACTACTGATAACTAAGTATACACTTTAAAATATTTAAGTATGAAGTTAACAAAACATAATATATAATTGATATTGAACAAGTATGCATAATGTATTAACTGAATTTGAATTTTAAAACTAAGGGTCATTATGAAGACATTGGCGACATTTGTTGTTCTCCAACACAAGCTCTGTTTTACTCCCATTTATGTTATTCTCTTCTTTATATTGTTGTTATTTTGTTCTCCACTATTTAGGTACTTTTCTAGGAATCTCGGTCCTTGTAATATAGTATCTCGTGTTTATATCTTATTTTATATTTTTTGTGTATTTCTTTCATTGTTCTAGTTGTTATTCTTGTGTGGCGAACGTGTGCACGTCCAGGTTGCTCGTTAAGAGCTTGATCGGTCCAAGAGGAACGTTCATCCTGGAACCAAAGTAGACAATCATTCTGGTTACGCGTACCCATTTCATGTATCATTTACAAAAGCAATCTTTACTAAATTGGCCAAACCATGCATCAAATATCGTTGTTAATAAAATTATCGTACCAAGCGGGCCAGGGACTCACCTTACAGATCCTCATAGGACGCGACCAGCTGCTAGGCCACGAGTCAAGCGTGAAATGCGCGTCGCGCGCAAGCGTTGCACCCAACCTTGCTTGCGAGAGACAGTGTCGTGCTCAATTGTAGGCGCTCAGCGACACCGTGCTTGTCCACAACCGTAGCGGATGCACACGACGTGATCCACACCGCGATGGGTGCCATTAGTCGGACTCATTTGGATGGGTTTTCGAACTCGTTTAAATAGCAACTCGTACAAGATGTTTAGGGCATTCATAGACATTATGAAACTTGTTTTTGGGCTTTTGAACATTTTACTTTGAATTTATCTTGAAGAGTTACACTCCAAGACTTGGATTTCTAGTTTTGTATTTGTATTTGATATTGAATATCAACTCTTGAGTAATTGTAACCTTTCTTATTATTTATTGATGGATGTGAGCTATATTTACTTACCGGGGATAGGGGATAATTAAATTCTTGTTCATGTGACTATCAAAGTTGTTCAACTTATGCGAGTTGATTGAATATTATGTTTAGAATTGATCACTTTCTAATCTAGCTAAATAACTTTAGAAACAGAAGGAGAAAAGTCGTTCGACCTATGCTTCGAATAAAAGATATATGCTCATACCTTACAAGGTAGCGCACTGCATAGTTGTTCTGGTCAAACTCCTTGTCTTTAAAATTACGTACCTCTTGGTCCGGATACATCACAAGAGGTACGTTGTGATGGCGAATGCATCATTATTCAAGGCCAGCTCTATGTGTTGCTCCAAAGTGATGGAATGTCCCTTCAGCTTTTTTTATGGGGAGTGTGTCTCATTGAAGACTGGTCAACAAGCAGCTTTCATGGTTTGGGCATCCCGAGCACTTTTGACTATCCACCCGTAGCTCCCTTCAACAGATGCTAAGCTCTCAACCTCAAACACTTTGAAGTAGGCATCTGTGGAGCATAGGTATTAGAGCGACCTCAATAAGATATAGGTCAATCGAATATGAAAATACAAGAGCATCCACCTATGTCACCGGAATCGAGGTGCAACAGTTGTTGGGTTCGCTATACCGTACGAGTTGAAACGCAATGAAAATTAGATAAATAAAACAAGCATTTATCTAATAAATACTAATTCCGTCGGTTCACGTAGTGATTGTAACGATCGACATCTTTAAAATCACGTAAAAGAATGAATTTTAATTTTTAAAGGATTTCAATCAGTACATTAATTTTCTTCTATAAATAATGATGGAGAGGGAATCAATTCCCAGGTATGTGGCAATTACTGTCTTCGTTCATTTCGCCATAGGGATGCACATGTCTCCCCTCTAAACAACTCCACATTTTGATTGTGATTCGGAACCAAGCAATACGCTAGTAGAGATTGTCACGATATTAAATTGGTATCTGGTAAGAGGAGATTTTTTTTCTTCTCAATTTTCACGGCCACATTTTGACCAAAGAAGAAAAAGCACTGAACATTACAAATCTAATTTGCAACTTAAAATATGTTTGGACGGTCAACCCTAATCCGTCCCACTAGCCATTTAATCTATATATATTGAAGAAGAGAGGTCAATAAATCAAATAAGGAAAGTTTAAAAAAGATCGCAGTCAACCAAGTTGACTTCCTGAATATGGCAATCTTTTCAAAACCGTGCAATCATTCCTAATATTGCGGTTGAATGAAATTGTCATTCCTTATATTTAGGAATCTTTTAAAAATGGTTGTTTGTTTGATATCTTTTAATATCTTATCAACATCAATCCATATTTATCATCAACAAAAAATCCTAAACAAGCGGATATTACAACCTTATCAAAATCAATTTAGTATCTTATCAAAAACAATCCTTCTTTATCGTTAACAATTTCAGCAATTATATCTTAACAAAATCTTTCCATATTTTACGTTGAGATAAATGTGCAGATAAAAAATGTATATAAAAGAACGTTCATGGATAGCATTTTTTTATCACCTTCTTCACAACGTGCAGAGAAACTATACAGAGAAGTTTCAATATACACATAGAATATAATGCAGAGAAATATAATACGATCGCTGCTGGTCGCGGAGAATCTCAGGCGCGCTGCTACTCCAATTGCTGCCACGACCGTTCGCACGTCGCCGGAATGGAGGATAAAACGGGGCCTGCTGCTTCTGTCGCCAGAAAACGGCGGGTCTGGTACGCACAAGAGGCTCGACGGCGATTCTAAGGCTGGGCCCGTCGGTGGTGATGATGGTGATGGCGATGAAGGAAAGTGACACTGATGGTGGTCTGATCTATGAGCGATGATGAAGAGGGTGAGGTGATGATGGCGATCGAGAATGGACTGGGAAAGGGTTTTCTCTGCTCGATGAAGACGACAAAAGGAAAAAAAAAATATGATATTGCGGCTTAAACTAAAGAAAAAATTACCTTCCATACGGGTGATTCAACTTTTATTTCTCAATAGACGAGCATTTTTTTCTTATTCCACATTCCTATAGACATGTGGCTTTATATACCTTTTCTTACAATGTTATTAAATAGGTTAAGAAAATTTATGTTTGCATCCAAATAAGGATAGTGGCGTGCCATTCCATCAACCTCTCTGTCTTCTCCCTTTCCTCTTTAGATTTCCATTTTTTTGCTATAACTTTTTGTTCCTGGTTTTTTTCTTGCAGTAANAAAAAAAAAAAAAAAAAAATCAATCCAATAGTCGTCCTTATCCAGTGGGTTCAATTTATTAGTTGTTTGAGTTCTGATTTCATGACGGAAGGGGGTTGTTTGCTGAGGAACTCATTGTAGGCAACATGTACTGTTTTTTTATTTGGGGGATACAAATTATGTTTTCATAAACTTAATTTTAAATGCTTTGGATACATTTTGTAGGATTGTGGATAAAATCTCTCTAAGAAAAGTTTCACATTTAGCCACATTTTCCATCTACTCTTTAGTTATAAATTCAACAGTTTTATTCTTAATAAGCGGGACATATACAAATCTATATATGTATAATAAGAATTAACATTTATTAAAATTAGTAGGTCAATTTATGGTCAAACTCCGGTTTGCATTTATTATTTTTCAAAAACGGCAAGTTTTATGTCCTTTTCACACGCCGCATTAACTCATTAATTACACCGAATTAATTATCATAAAATCATTCCATATGAGCTGTTATTGTTATATTCTACAGCAATCTGTTACGACCTTATCCCGTTGATATTTCCATAAAGCGTCCTTATCGCGTTATTTTTTTTGGTAAAAGTTTTATATGAAGGAGCGGATATTTGGTTTTGGATAATTTAAAGAAAAAAAATCCTGATATGTAGTCGTATTGTTTGAAATTTAAAAAGTATTCTTTTTTTTTTAATATTTACCCATGAATGAGCTGATATTTGGTTTGGGATAATTTACAGAAACAAAATCCAGAGGCAACCTTAACTTTTGAATTTTTAAAAACTCGTTTTTTTAATATTTTGCCTTAAGAATCGGTTTTTGTTATACCAGCCATCGGATTGTTTGAATTTTAATGTACACCCTATCAATATTCAAAACGTGTGCTATCAAGTTTTTTATTCATTTCCTAAAACAAATGCACGTGATGAATATTTTATTAATTAAGAATAGACAAAGTTAAGGTGATTATCTTTAAAGATCTTTACAGAACATCCGCATAAAATAGACAATATAAAAATGCACATGCTGATGGTGATTAACACAGTTTTACTTTTTGTATACAATCTCTACTTAAATTAGAAATTATATTGTTTCCATTTGGTAGGATTCTTTTCGGTAACAGTGTTTAATAAGTTTATTATATTATAAATATGGACTAGATATACTCCTACTC